TGAGCTCTTTCCACTCCTACTGAAGTCAGTATTCCAGTCTTGGATTCAAGTACAAGGTCGTGGTAGGGCAGGTAGCTGCTGCATCCCTGTCTCCAGCCCTAACATAGGGTTGAGATAGGAGCCACAGTTACTGCCTGCCTCCCTACTACCTCTGCCCCTCCCGCCTGTTCCCCCTCCTACCCCTGTAGCCTCAGCCCCCTCCCCGAGTGTTGCAGCAGCAGCTCCAGCCAGGCCCTAGAGCCTGGGCCAGCCCTGCTGTACTGCTGCCACTGCTACTGGTTTGGGTTGCAAAAATCATTTTTGGTAATATAAGCAAACACATGCTCTGTGCCCCAAGCTGGAGTAGAGCTGAAACCCTGCTGAAGCCAGAGTACACAGCCAAGTAGGGCAGAGGCTGTGGGGGCACAGGGGGCTGTGGGGGCACAGGGGGGTGCCATCAGGGGATCGGCAGTAAGGGGTGCAGGCATAGGGTTAAGTAGCAGGGAAGGAAAGGAGGGCAGGTGCTGGGAGAGCAAGTGGTAGGGGCAGCAGGGGGGAAAGGGCCAAGCTGCTTGACTCCCCAACCACCTGGCCCTCCTGCCACTGCTTTCCCTGCTGCCGTGGTGGGGGCGGGCAAATTTAAGTTGACCCTCCAATAATTAGATTCTATGCACTGAAAATTATAACATTTATAAATTTTCTGTGTACGGACCCTAATTATTTGGGGTCATCTTGAATTAAATATTGTCTTGGATTTGGGAGTATATGGTACAGCTGAGAGACTTGGGAAGAATTTGTGTGTGTTAAAAACAGAGTCAGTCTATAAAATTGTCAGTGTCCTTACAGTCAATTTAATTTTTAATTTTGCCACAACTCTAGCATGGTTTCCTTTATTGTTTTGTTTTTTTTTTTTAATCGACAAAGCTGAATTTCCAAGGCTACTTCTATTTTATGGAATCAGGGGTATGAAATTCATAAAGTATTGCTTTACAAGCTTTTCATTTCTAGGTTAAACAAGTAAAATTAAAAGAAAAAGAATATTGGCAGAAACTGAGTAAAAATAAAAAAGATTATAAAATATTGTTTTGGCTCTGATAATTATTCTAAATGTAATCTAAACAGAACCAACTACAACATTTCCTGAAGAGAAATACATAGAAGTGCGGTCAGAACAAGAATAAAATTGCTTAGACAGTTCCCACTTCTTGAAAGTCGCTTGTTAAATTTATTTTAAAAGCAATTTTCAGATAGATAGCTTTATGTAGTAAAGAACCCAAATGCTGGTTTATGCATTTTGCTATCCAATATTAACAGATTAGAGATTTATTTCATAAATATCAGTAATTCAGATGATTCTTAATGAAGCACAATCTTGCTTTGCTTTCTTTGTTTTTATTTTCATTAAATACTAAGCAATTGCAAATATACCCTAAAAAAGACTGCTCCTTATTTCAGATTTGAGGTAATGTTGCAATAATGCAGCCTCTAAATATAGTCTTATTACTTGACTTGACACAGTTAAATCAGCCTCAAGAGGCCTTAAAATTGCAGAAGGCTATAGCATACAAAACAAGACAAAACACAAATAGTAAAATCCTAAGTAAAATATAATTGGTGAGCTACTGCAAATATTGATTTGCTTGAAAAACAAACAGAACAAGTTTGCTAACAGAAAAAAGTGCAAATTGCATTTTTTTCTGAATCATAAATTTGACCCTTGTGATTGCTACCAACAGAGACAACCATAGTAAAGTTTTGTGTTAATTCAAAGTTTTGTGATAATGTCAGATACAAATAGCAATTTCTTCTATCCCAAATTCCAGAGTATCCCTAACTATTAACTTATGTTTCCGAATAACATTAATGATTGCAATGCCCTGGAATAATTGCTCATATTTCAGAAGGCGAGGACAATCTGGATCTCTTTAAGTTTATCTAATGATAATCAAATCCTGACTTTTACAGCATTTATTAGATGCATTGGTATTTAATAAGAATCAGTAAATAAACTTTAAATTACTGTTCAGTGAATACATCCAAAGCTTGTCTGACAACCTGAAATCTATGGTCAATTATTGTAGATAAAGTGCTTCGATGAACGTGACTTCGTAAACTCCTCTTGCAAATTCCATTTAAGAAAAATGTGAAGGAATATGTTTAAATCCACTCAAAACTGGGACTGTTAAACATTTTAAATAGACTTTCCCCCCAACCTCATGTCTAAAATTAAAAAGAAAGGGGAGGAAGGGGACGGTAATTTTAAACCCTATTTAAAATTATGCCCATGCAAACATTTGACAACATTTTTAGGCATGTTTTGTGAAAAGTTATTATGACACTCATAACTATTAGGTACTAAAATCTACATGTTTTTACACTGACACCATATGTAGCACTTTTTAAAATTTCCTAATATGAACTTTCCATTTACTAGGCAATAAAGATGTTGGGTCCAAAGCATATTCATGAACTAGTATAGTAGTGTTCATTCTGTCAACACGTGTACAAAAGGCTGTGTCCATGCCCGTTTCAATCCTTCTCGAAAGTTCTGCTGTTGCTTACTACTGAAATCTTTACAAAGACACTCTTGTGGGATTCATTCACATGTATCTTGTGAATCATCAATCTGTTCAAGTTTCCATGTGTCTTCTATATAACACGAGCTTTCTGTGTTTTGGAAATATTTCAAGTCCAAAGTTGAGGAGAGTGGATAACAAAAAAAAATCTTACAGAGCTAATTAATTTGGATGTCTTTTAGGCAGTTCTGTGTTATAGCCACATTAATATTCTCCTTTTAAAAAAAGACGAAGTAAATCCCACAATGTTAGAAGAATTTTAGATACTGATTACTTGCAATTGGCTCTTGGTGATGTTGCTCTTAAGATTTCCAGCTGAATTTAACCAAAGTCTGATTTCTGAAAAGCTGCTTGATAGTACTGCATTAAAATTGCATGTTTTTCATATGAGCATATTTCTGTAATTTCACCCAACTTCACATTATATTTACATTTCCTCCCACTTTAAAAAGCAGTGCTTAAAACTTCAGAAACAATAAGCAAAAAAGATTATATTAATTCCAAAGGAAGATAATATATCTGCCAAAGTCTCAGCCTTGAAACTAGAATTGTTGAGTTTCTCGGTATTAAATATTATATGGTAACTATATAATGCTTAAGAGGCATTTTTCTCAAGTTGCCAAATGTTTGAAAAATGAAGGGAAAATACAATTTGAAAAAAAACCCAAATAGTCACTGGCAAATTCAGATGGAGTGAGATGTGCAGTATTTGTACTAATAAAATATAAGGCTCAATTACACTGTACTTTGCAGTTTTCAGGCTAAATTTAACTGATTTAGTGATCTGCAAATGCATGAATCCTTAAAAAAAAAATCCAAATGCAAATTAGTGCAACTGCAATAAAATATATTTGCAAATGAATCCTGTTGCTTTATTCATTTATTGTGTAATTACTGCAATCCTTCCCACCTTGTTTTCAGTATTTCTTAATCATTAAGTCGGAAGCATGACAGCAGTGCCAGCCCTGGCATGATTCTCTTTGACTAAAACCTTGTAAATTAACACAATTAGCACAGCATCATCCTGCTAATTAACTTCCAGTGTCTGGTGCAGTAGTTTTGCAAACAAGGAATAGGGAATCAGAAGGGAATAAACATGCCATTCTGTTACCAAACTGTGTGCTGTGTTAGGCTTAGCTCAGTGAGGCTAAGCTGGCCATGTCAGATGCCAGAGTCAGGCAATGAAGAGCTAAAGGGGTTGGGGAGGAAAACAGGAGGAGGTAGAAGCTGTCAAAATAGACTGCAGTAATTCAGAAGGGAACTAGTGCCACAGATGCTTCATTTAGACTAGGCCTCCTTCTTATCAAAGAATCTATGCCAGAGGGCACAAAACTGTTTGCAAAAATCATTTTTGGTAATACGAGAGAGATTAAGGAGGCCTATTTGATTCAGCTGTACAAAAATCAGCAATGCGTCTACCATGCATAGGTAAGAGTTGGAGGGGGTTAATGCTTGTAAATTGTTCATGTTACATGTGGTGGATTACCAGGGGAAAAAAAATCGCATCACATTATTTGCAAGATTAATTGCTTTAAAGTAGCAGTTGCGTTTTTTGCTTAGTTTATTGAATTGACAGGGTGTATTGCCATCAGTGTAAGCCACAGAACTTTTAGGGGCTAGGCTGCTTTTCTTTTCTTTCTTTGGTCTCCCCGCCTCCCCCCTTTCTTTGTACCCTGGAGGCTGTGAGGGGAAAAAAGAGAGAGCAAGCAAGGAGACCGACAGACAAGTGATGCTTGTTTTTTTTTCCAGAGCCTCAACAACAGAACTGAGAGGCAGAAAGGAGCCAGTTGTAATTCATACCGAGTTGTAGGCTTTGTGTGATGAAAGCGACGGAGCGCTGCCTGGGAGATTGCTTTGCTGCACTCCACGAAGCAGATTTGAAACTGTCGTGGACCACTTTAGATGAGAGTTGGATTATGGAATGACCTGCTATGTCTGTGTCATATTGTTCTGCGCAGGGTGCATTATACTGTGCTAACTAGGTGTTCAGTACCAAATAAGAGAGGTATCCTAGATGTGATCTGTCAGCTGTGTCTCATATTTTTATATTGGTTAAAATATAAAACCGAAACTGTGATGAGAGAAGACAGAACAGTTAGGTGTCTTGTAGGTTAACGACAAATCTACACTCCTGGTATTTAAAATGTATAAGATTTTGTTTAATTACTTTAAGAAATCTGGCTTTGCAGAACAAATAATGTTTTTCTCCTTCTAACTAAGCAAAAATATGGCTCTGCTCATGTCTATATTTAAACAAATCTGAATGTTTTTATTGTTTCGTAAAGGCGTTCATTGCATTTTGTTGGTAAAGGATCTCTAGTCTGACATAAAGTAATTGTAGAGAGAACTAAAGAAAAATTAAACAGATAATACATGTACAATTAATTTTGAAAGCATCCAAAGTATCTGAGATTGCTGTTAACTTTGTTTTCCCCACAACCCTAGGCTTGAAGATGCAGTGGACGCCGGAGCATGCCCAGTGGCCAGAACAGCACTTTGATATCACTTCAACCACCCGGTCTCCTGCCCACAAGGTGGAAGCATACCGTGGACACCTGCAGCGCACCTATCAGTATGCCTGGGCCAATGATGACATCTCTGCTCTGACTGCCTCCAATCTGTTGAAAAAATATGCAGAAAAGTATTCTGGCATTTTAGAAGGGCCGGCTGAACGACCCATCCTTAGTAACTATTCCGAAGCTCCGTCAGGGCTGGTGAACGGTCGGAAGAATGAAAGTGAACCCTGGCAGCCTTCTTTGAATTCGGAGAGTGTTTATCCAATGAACTGTGTCCCTGATGTTATTACTGCCAGCAAAGCTGGAGTAAGTACAGCCCTCCCTCCCGCAGACGTCTCTGCCAGCATAGGGAGTTCACCTGGGGTGGCCAGTAACCTGACAGAACCTAGTTATTCTAGTAGTACCTGTGGAAGTCATACAGTTCCTAGTCTTCATTCAGGGCTCCCATCTCAGGAATATGCTACAGGATACAATGGCTCTTACTTACATACTAGCTACAGTGGCCAGCCAGCACCTGCACTTCCTTCACCTCATCCATCTCCCTTGCATAGCTCTGGGCTTTTACAGCCCCCACCACCACCACCACCACCACCAGCCCTAGTCCCAGGCTACAATGGGACTTCTAACCTCTCCAGTTACAGCTATCCTTCTGCTAGTTATCCTCCTCAAACTGCCGTTGGTCCTGGGTACAGCCCTGGCGGTGCACCACCTCCGTCAGCATACTTGCCTTCAGGAATTCCTGCTCCTACTCCTTTGCCCCCAACCACTGTACCCAGTTACACTTACCAGAGTCACGGTTTGACACCCATTGCACCATCAGCTCTGACAAATAGTACAGCGAGTTCTCTCAAAAGGAAAGCTTTCTACATGGCAGGGCAAGGAGAAATGGACTCCAGTTATGGAAATTACAGCTATGGCCAACAGAGATCTACACAGAGTCCAATGTACAGAATGCCCGACAACAGCATTTCAAATGCAAACAGGGGGAATGGCTTTGACAGAAGTGCTGAAACATCAACCTTAGCATTTAAGCCAACAAAGCAGCTAATGTCCTCTGAACAGCAAAGGAAATTCAGCAGCCAGTCCAGTAGGGCTCTGACACCCCCATCCTATAGTACTGCTAAAAATTCATTGGGATCAAGAACAAATGAATCCTTTGGGAAGTATACCTCCCCTGTAATGAATGAACATGGTGATGAGCATAGACAGCTCCTTCCTCACCCAATGCAAGGCCCCGGACTTCGTGCAGCTACCTCATCCAACCACTCTGTGGACGAGCAACTGAAGAATACTGATACACACCTCATTGACCTTGTAACCAATGAGATTATCAACCAAGGACCTCCAGTGGACTGGAATGACATTGCTGGCCTAGATCTGATAAAGGCTGTCATTAAAGAGGAGGTTTTATGGCCAGTATTGAGGTCAGATGCATTCAATGGACTGACTGCTCTACCTCGGAGCATCCTTTTATTTGGACCTCGGGGAACAGGCAAAACATTAATGGGCAGATGCATAGCTAGTCAGCTAGGGGCTACATTTTTCAAAATCACTGGCTCTGGTCTTGTCACAAAGTGGTTAGGGGAAGGAGAGAAAATAGTTCATGCTTCCTTCCTTGTGGCAAGGTGTCGCCAACCCTCAGTGATTTTTGTTAGTGACATTGATATGCTTCTTTCATCTCAAGTGAGTGAAGAACACAGTCCAGTAAGCCGGATGAGAACCGAGTTCCTTATGCAGCTGGACACCGTACTAACTTCTGCTGAGGACCAAATAGTAGTAATTTGCGCCACAAGTAAACCAGAAGAAATAGATGAATCTCTTCGAAGGTACTTCATGAAACGACTTTTAATCCCACTTCCTGACAGCACAGCGAGGCACCAGATAATAGTACAACTGCTCTCACAGCACAATTACTGTCTCAATGACAAGGAGGTTGCACTGCTTGTCCAGCGCACAGAAGGCTTTTCTGGACTGGACGTAGCTCACTTGTGTCAGGAAGCAGTGGTAGGCCCGCTCCATGCCATGCCAGCCACAGACCTTTCAGCCATTATGCCCAGCCAGTTGAGGCCAGTTACATATCAAGACTTTGAAAATGCTTTCTGCAAGATACAGCCTAGCATATCTCAAAAAGAGCTTGATACATATGTTGAATGGAACAAAATGTTTGGTTGCAGTCAGTGATACTACTTTAAAAAATGTAATGAATGTTGGCACACACACAACCTGCTACATAGGGTATAGAACCCCTTTTCAGTAGTGTTCAAATTTCAAAGGGTACTGGGAAGACTACAATTTACCTTGCCTCTAAAGAGTCAGGGTAGACTTGAAGGAAAAGTGCATCAAACAAGAGCTGCTGATCTGAAAAGCCACACATGACAGAAAGCGTATGTTGATGCTCAGTTCTGTTCAAGCTAGACAACACTCACCAAGGAGCAAGGTGCAAGTGGGTTGATTTCAGAAGGACATGAACCCTGTGTGTTGATTCCATTCTGCTGTTCTTGAGATTTAGTTGCTGTCAAGTGCCTGAAGTGGTGCTTTATTTTTTGTTTGCCTCACAATTACATTGGTGGCATGTGCTAATATAAAGAGCTTTAACTTCAAACATTATTCGGACTAAAGAGATGAACGGTTGTGTTGTGACAGAGAACCAGATTTTTGCTATTCTAAGAGCAACAGTATTCCTCAATCCTGTCTGTTCTGCAGTATTAAACTAAGAACAGGTAAAACAGGGTAACGGTAATCTGGACCTTAATTTCTGCAGTTCATTTCTTTTAATGTTCTGTCTGCAAAAACTCAGGAAAGTGATTGTGATTTGTACAGTACCTCAAAGGAATGTGTTGAAAGCACTATGTACTGCTGAGAGTTATAGGCTAGGCTTCAATGTTACTTTATATTAAATATGTATGTTTACCTCAACAATTGGAAAATGGCAAGGAAAATTACTTTGAATGTATCCGGGAAAATACTGAAGTGTGATATGACTGAATCTTTACAGCTTTAAAGTAGAAACAGAAGTGTTAAGAAACGGTTCTTTTGCCAATTTCTGGGAACAGAACAGAATAATTCTCTTGTTGGTAAACTGTAAGAGGTTTCAGCATATTGCTCCTTTATAATTACGCGATACAGTCTTTAGAAGGTGCACAGATGAAAAGAGAGCCACTTAATCAGTTTATGTTTGCATCTGGAACAGTCAAATATTAGATTCCATAGGACTCCGAGAGGCAAATTACCTTTAAACTATGACTGCTGGCCTTTTATTACTTGGCTGTAGTTGTAGTTTTGCGGTTATTTTGGTAAAACTGTAAGGAATGGAATCCTTGTAGGTCACGGGCATAGCTATGGGGTGCAGAACTGTTTATAGCAATGGAGTAGACCATGACCAAACAAACAATACAAATAATAAAGCAAAACTGAACCCTCAAAGTACTTTTATTTCCCCACCCAAACTGTAAAGTTTCATTTTTATGGTGTCCGTATGGCTCCATTGTCTTTAATGCAATCTTCATTTAGCATCCATTAGTAATCTTTTCGGCTGGAGTGTACCCACCATTATTGCTACCTCAGTTTTGTTACGTTTCTCTTGGAAAGCAAAGTAAGAAATAAGACAAAAAATAAAGACAGATTACATTAGGAATGCTAACCTGCTAAACGAGTTTAAGAGATCTGCTGTTTTCTCCTGAAGTCACGTTTCTCCGTTCCTTAAGCCCTCCCGGCCCCCTCCCATACACGTACTGTGGAGTCTTCCTTCTGGAAAGACTAGCTGGCATGTGTGGCATTTTGCTCTGTTCTTCCCCTGCCACACAGTGTCTTTCTTTTTATCCTTTAATGCTTTATGTGCAACTTTTTTCATGACAGCTGACTGATGTTGGGTAATGTCTGTGAACAGGAGCAGCGTACGCTGCAGCTGCCCAAAGCCTCTGCCACCGCATGTGCAGAACAGCCTTGCTTTTTTGAATGTAATTTTTGTTGTTGTTGTTTACTTTAAAGAGACGGTAACAAAACTGTTGCGAAGCACTGGCATTTAATGTTTCTGTTAAGTAATGTACATTCAAAAATGTTAAAGAAATGCACTGAAAGCCCCAAGAAGAGAGATACCAATCTGTTACCAGATCATGTTTGTCTTCTCAAAAATTGTACAGATCTCATCCATTACGTTAAATCAATTGAAACATTTAGCATTTAGAAAGCTAATGAGGGATTTCATCATATTGCTGGAAATTTATGACTCTTGGTTATTGCCTTCGTTCATCTTTCTTTTAATATATAAAATATATTTAGGTAGATATTGCTTAAAAACAGAGCAAATTAACCAAAATTTAATTTAAGAGGGATTCCTGGCAAACATTTTGTCTATCTAAAATTTATGTTTTAGACACGAAAGTACCATTTTATAAACAGTGCCTTTCATTAAGGATACAGAAAGTAGGACTTACACACACCACCTGTTTTACAACAGTGATTAAAATGCAAATTGTTTGTTCTGACCCACTCCTTTCTCTTCCCTTTCTCCCCCCAGACACCCACCTCAGCCGTTCTACCTTCTTCGTTGTTAGGAAATTCTGATATCCCCATTACTTGTAGGTTCATATTGATCTCACTGGCAAGTTTACTATTGCAGATTGCTGACCCATTTTCTGTCTTAGACATTGCATTTCATGTCTTCCATCAAGCTGTGCTCATTTTAAAGGTTCAGGCAAATTTTGACAAACCTACTTGATAAATCCATATAGTAATGGATTTTTGTGACTAGTAAAAGTAATGCCAAATACTGGACTGCACTAGTGTATTTTTTTTTCCTTCTTTTAGTCGAAAACAAAAAAAAAATGAAATTGTAGATGCTCATTTTGGCTTTCAGCTTTAATAACTATCTCTTGAAAATACACTCTGAAAAATGGATTGCTCAAATATTAACTAATGTGACAGACAGGCAGAAGCTGAGGTCATGTGCAGACATGTGTTCCCCAAACACTTAAATTTCAAGCTCTTGATTCAACCCTGGAGGTACTAGGGATTGAAAATTCACCCCCGCCCCCCACCTCATTTTGGGGTGTATGGTCAGAGCTCTTCTCAAGAGGTTCTCTGGAAAACAGTTGATGGCACCCCAGAGCGGTCTGGCCACATCCTCTCCCTTTCCTGAATCTCTTCCAGTCAAAGGACTGAGCTGGCTGTTCCCAGGCCTTTCCCTGCTCCCTTCCCCCTCCATGTCCCAGGTTTAGCAGAGGTGTGCATGCCTTATCACTCTAGTACCCTCTAGGTGAATTTCCTAGCAGGAGGGAAGCAAGCCCCAGGACTTGAGCTTTCAGACCCTGGAATGTATCACAATCATTTGTGGGGAGGGGGATATGAAAAACCCCAGGTGGCATCCTCAGGCTGCACTATTTGCTAGTCTTTAAAATAGCTTTGGTATTTGGTATTAGCTGTCTTTTGCAATTGGTCAGAGCTGGCAGGAGGGAATGGACTGCAGCTACAGAAGTGCATGAGAAAGAGCAGAGCAGCCAACAGTATGTTTTCAAGCATTGGGGCTTTCATGGATTTTAAGGACATTGGGTGAGACCTTTAATGCACATTAGCTATTCTAGCTTATCAGTAGAAGGTTTATTTGCCTGTGATGTCTGTTTGTAGTGTTTGCAACTGAGAAGACCATTTTACATCAGCTTATGCACTTCTTTGCAACTGCAATAACAATTCCAACAGCAAAAAAAAAAAAGGCAAAGGAATATTTCTGCAAGCTGAAGGATCAATATCAATTCAAGGGGTAGTTCATAATGACCTTATGTGAGACACAAATGGAAATACTCTGTACTTCTGGCATGCTTCTCTCCAAAATATTTAGAACATTAGTGACAATATTGAAAAGTTTGCTGACTGAGCTGATCAATGGAATGTGAAGGCAGTTTACTTTAAGGCTATTTACTTTCACACAGAATATTTATCTATTAGTCAGTTTGTATTCTACTCAAATGCAGATAGATGGGTTATTTTTTTCTTGTGTATTTCAAACCCATCAAGGAGAAAATAAACTATTCCACTAAAACACAAAGGCCAAATACCATCTGGTCAAGGTGTATCCTAGCTAGTTAGGGGGCTATGCTCTGTAAAATAGTTCATTTTACATGGGTTTGCATAGGACTTTACTGCGCAGTTTCCAAAAAGAGATAATCTAGTCTAAAAAAAAAACAAATTAATTCCAACTGTGGTTTATATACATTATTATATGTCCATTGTGAAAGCAAATTTGGGGATCAGTATAAGGTTTCTGCTGTCTGAAAGTACATATAGCTTCTAGGAAAAAATGGTATTTCTGATAATCCCCTGCCTTTCCTCTAACCAGTGTATTCTACAAAACCAAAGGATACGCTTCATCACAAGAGGCCACTTAAAGTCCTATAGGGCCTAATTCCCCTTTCACTTACACCAGTGTGAAACTGAGGTATCTCCCTTGACTTTAATGGAGTTGCTCCTACTTTGTACTCTGTTAAGAGAGTCATTTCCCAAATGTATAATAATCTTTGTCTGCTGGTTTTTGTCATGAGCTCTGAAGGCTAAGGTTGTACTCAGAGCACTAACTACCTTCCATCTTGTATGTGTGCATGTGTGTATATAATATTTATATGTGCATACACACCATGTCTAAATAACATTTTTATCTCTCTTCCTTAAAAAAAAAAAAAAAAAAAAAAAAGGTTTTTGGTTTAATCACTTTCAAATTAGTGAACACAAGGCACATTAGTGAATATGGAGCTATTAGTATTTCAGAATTAAAAAAAACCCTAGCTGTACTGGTGACTAACCAATACATGAACTGAAGCTCACACTCTGCAAGGACCTTTGGTTGACATTCGATTTTGAACCTGCCAGATGCATTTTTGTGAACCAGGGATACTGCATCTTTAATGAACAAGTCTCTTCTCTTTCCCCTGTTTTTAAATACAACACAAGCAGTGTAGCACTAGGCACTGCAATTGTCAAAGACAATTAGACTGAAAGCAGGAAAATTTCACCTCCCTGTCTCAGTGATATGTAGAATGTCGGCAGTGTGGGTCAGCCTTGCCACAGAGTTGTGTGAGAATATATGAATCAGTCCTATAGAATGTTAAATATTTATAAAATGGTTCTGTACTACACCAAGGTTGGGAGCACATTCATTCCTTCTTGTTGTCTTATAATAGAAAAAGAAACAAAAGTTTATTTCCAGACCTAAACTTTGTAAGTGTGGGTGTGCATGGATTTTTTTTCCCTTTTTGTTTTTTGATTTTATAAATTTTTTCTTTTGTTCTTTCTTTCATTCTGTTGTTCTTGTGGTTTATATGCAGTCTCTAGAGACTTCTCATTTCCTTTTTAAAAATATTTTTCATCAGATGTGTATTCAGACATTTGTTCTTTAAAACCATTTCTACCTCATTGCTACATATTGTACATGTAGTATTTA